CAACTCCACTGATGTCATTCTATAAGGAGAAATAAACACTGGTCCTGCCCCTGGTATAAGATCAATACTAAACTCCAACACTCGTTTTGGTGGTAACCCCGGAACATCATCCGGAAAAACCTATGGGAAATCTCTAACAACATCAATACTATTCAACAACTTTTCATTCTCTAAATTGATAAAAGATAGGATCATAAACCCAAGAGCTCCACCCTTCAACAACCTATCCACCTGTCCACTAGAAATAAATCTCTCATGTTTAACCGTAGGAAAAATTAATCTCTTCTCTGAACAAATGCATACCAAATGCATACATATTCCACATCCAAACCAAAGTCACACCACTGTATAATCCCATGAAGTAGCCAACACATCCAAACAAAATGTTGACCTAAACACATCCAAACCAAGTGTTGAATTCGTGAACATGTCACCTGCCCATGTCACACACCTAACCTCTCATGGAAAATATGCAGTTGGGTTACGTCGTCACGTGACCCTGGTGATCGCGACCACTTCATCTATCAGTATGACTCGACCTTGCCCCCCATACCGGTAGCAAATAGAATACTTAGAGGAGTACTTCAGAATCTACTTAACATATGAAGTGGTTTATTATATAATCTTTGGAAAAGTTCCATATTGGAATCCTCACCATGAGACTCCCAAATTCTATATTTTCCCAAAGATTATATCCTGATCTCTCCAAGAGATCTCCCAATCCATACCATAACCTTACTCCTCTAAGTCCTATTAGCTTTCCAAACAAAAAACACATAGAATATTCCATAATTACATACAAACTTTTCCATAACCATGCCAAATTACTCAATATAACAACATAAATAATTAAACACCCAAAACAACTATCAACTTAACCAAATCACTTTGTGAAATGACAATCTTCACATAAAACAGCATATCAAGAGTTGTACTACTCCTATCATGCTCATCTTTATCTCATATGAAAGATAAGAAGATTTCCTACAACTCTTATGAAGACATCAAGTCCTAATTCCATCATCCACTTTGTTAAAATTTATAAAAACCGTAACAGCTATAACCAATGCTGACAGCTTGACCCCTGTTCACTAAAACAGTCATATCTGGAGTTCTAGACCTTCTTTTTGGGTGATTCCAACGCCATCGGAAAGCTAACATCCAAGGCTACAACTTTCATGAAGACTTCAAGACCAACATACTCACGCCCAGTGCACTAATATCCCACCCGGCGCAAAAACTACAAAGGTCATTGCGCTCGGCACATTTATGTTGCGCCCGACGCAATATCAGTAACCAAAACACAAAGACCACGTCTAATAGTGCGCCTGACATAGTTCTCCCCACGCCCGACGTGATTCACCCAGGGATTCTCATTTCAAATTGCGCCTAGCGCGACTAACCTCGCGCTCGACATGATTTGACAATGATGGTCTCTAATGAATTCACGCCTGGCGCCAAGAACTGGACCCGACGCATTTACAACCAGAAACCCTCAAAAACCTTGAAAATTCATTCCAATCATGAATCCAATCCAAATTACATGAGTTCGAACCATTATAAAGCATAAACAATGTCCAAAAATAACATTTTAAGCAATAAAATCAAGTATTAACCATTAATCCATGGAAATCATGAAGAAACCCCAACCAAAACCCTTTCCCCCCAATCCATCCTTAATCAAGCATAAATCATGGAATTAATATGATATTTCAAACCCATACATAGTAGATTAAGTCTTATAAGTACTACCCTTACCTTAGAAACCTCAGAAATGCAAGATTTGGACAAAACCCTCAAATCCCAACTCAAACTTCAATCTCACTTTTCAAGCTTCTAAAGGCTAAATCTCTTAATACTCTAGTTGTGAAGATTGATCCTGGCTTGATAAGCTTCCCAAATATGTCCTCAGCTTCCCTCCAGACCAAAGCCCCTCTCTCTACTTTCTCTCTCTAGAACTGTCCTTGTTTGACAAATGAGACCCTCCAATCCTAAGTCCCTATATATAGCCATTTTCCGAAATTTCCAAATTTTACCCTTAGCAACTATTCACCTCAAATATTCTATTCCTTGAAGTATTTCTACTCCCTAAGCTCTAAAACAACCTCAAATTCACTCAGAAAGACCAGATTTATCTTATGTTCCTATCCTTCAATCTCGTACCCATCCTATTCCTTTCCATGCAATACGCACAACTCACCACCATATGAAATGCAACATGTATTAACACACAAACAAACATCACTTTCAGATACATATGCTTGGAATAATGAGTTGCATGCCATAATACTTCACTTAACCAAGATGAGAAGGAAGGTGATCAGTCTTCTTCCCTCTTAGTACCAATTCAGTATAATGGTGTACAATGCATCATTCACCAAATTCATGCACACACATGCCTATATAAACCTCTCAAAACATCAACCTCTCATCTCATACTATAAAATCACTACCATGCTTAAACAACTAATCAAAACCACATCAACATACAACATGCACAGAGGTAAGTACATTTCAAATCCACATCTCCATAATCCAATCCAAATCCATATAAACAACATATACATACATGCATACATACATACATATATATATAGAGTATATCTACCAAATAGCTCGGTATTTCCATGGCGTTACTATGATCACCTGCAACATAATTTAAACACATACAAAGAACAACAAGGGAGTGAGAAACATCTCACTCAGGTTCAGGTGTAAAAATAACGATTAGGCAGTACACACAAATCATAACAAAGCACAACACAAAATACATGTTAATCAAGCACAACTCAAGTCATACATAGATTACGAGCACATACATAGTCACTCATTATGCAATGATGCCATGGACTTGACTCACAAATGCATGCATGTGGCGCCAGTCACATATCACATGGTGCATTGTCGCGCGCTAGCAATACATGTAGAGTAGTCTAGGAGTACATGTTGACTCAACCGTGCACTCTCAACTAGAAGGATGTACTGCTAGGATCTCGTCGGGATAGTGAAACCGTGCAAGATACGTCTCATGCACACAAACGGGCAAAACTAGGTCTACCAATTTGCACTATCCCTAGGACTCCTCCAAGATGTTTCACACTCGAAGGGCCTGCCCTAATAGTGTACTCCATATCGTACCCCATCACATAAATGCATATGATGCATGTCACACATTCACAAACTCATGGACTCATCACTTTACTTGTTATGGAATTTCATGTCTTATCTCATTTCATCACGTTTCACATTTTCATAGTCATAGTGCTCACAATAGCACTTCATTCACATCATGTCTCATGTTATTTTATCTTATAATAACATATCAGAGATCATATGTTCACTTTTCACATTTTCTCGTCATATTCACATAGTCTCATATAAGGAACTTCTCATCGTCATATATAAAATAGGACATACCTAGAAATTATCCAAAACATGAATCTATCATCAATTTTACATATAATGCCTCAAAATTCATCCAAAGATCATATCCCTAATTTTACTCCATAGCGTTTCCCACAAGAATCCACAGAGCACCTTAATTCATATCAAAACTTATCTATTTTAAAAATTAATCACATATTCATACATCACATCCAACAAGGAACACAACAGAACAATCCGAAAGCAAAACAGAAAACTTTCATAAAGTGCCTGTTCTTATAGGCATACATCAAGCAAAGGATTGGGGGCCAATCTTGCTATCCAACAATTATTCTCACACCCGAAGCGAGGTTTCTCAATCCCACGTTACCTGGATAAGTAGAAGACGAGGCTAGTGTAGAATCTGGTTGATCTCCTTCTCTTGGTCCTCCTTGGTCTTTAGAAAGTGTGTCCAGGAGCAGTTCTAGAGTCTTTAAAAGTGGCCAGATCGTCCCGTTTTGGATCCAGAATGGCCCGTCTTGGATTCTTTCATCATGTGTTAAATTCGCATCTTGAACGACCCGTTCTGGAGTTGAGTTTAACTCATAACGGCCATGTTTGGAATGACCCGTTATTAAACTAGAACAGCTCGTTCCCAACTAGGTTATAAGCCTTTTTGGTGGTTTGGAACGCCTCGTTCCAGTTTGGAAACGGCTCGCTCCCAACTAGGGTTTATAGGCCTTTATAGTAATTTGGAACAGCCCGTTCTGGGCTACTAAATCACCCTTATTGGGTTTTGGGCCTTCATATAATCTGTGAAAATTGGGGTATTACATATTTAATGTTGTCTTCAGAACTACTATAATGTCTTCAAGACTACTTTGATTCATAATAATGTAAATAATACAAATATTTGATAACATGTTGAAAAATGTATGGAAGATGAATAGCTAACCTTAAAATATTTGTATTGAAAAATATGACCTTCTTCAAGAAAATTCTTCACAGCTTTGTCTTATAGTTGCAACACCAATAGATAAAAAGACTATCGTGCTGATAATGTATTATAAAAGAAAGAAAATAGAGAGAACAAAGAAGACAATATGAGATGTAGAAAAGAATCTGACTGGTGTATTATCTTTAAAAGAGGACTAACCTATTTATAATACATAATGAAAATATAAATGGTAATGATTGATAATGAATATTGGCATCCACTAATTGAGCCACTAATTATTATTCATAACAACCACACATTACCATTCTTAGGATTATACTTCAAAACAATATCCCATATAGAGAAGGCTGGGCATAAATCGGATAGGATTAGATTTGTAACATATTTTGATATAATTTCATCAATTTTATTTTGATTGAATTGGTTTTCTTTTTTATTTTTGAATCTTTAATTCAAACTAATTATATTGAGTTTGGATTGAATTAATTCATTATTCGTAAAATAAAAATGTATTAATTAACAATTTATAAAACATATTTTTCTTCTTAATCATGGTACTGGTCGATCAATAGCTGGTATTATGTATATTTTATGAGATTAATGAGGTATTCTATCACAGGTTCTGTGGTATTCACCTTTTATATGTATACATACACTAGTGCATTACTGAATTGATTTACGACTTTAACAAATCTGTTCCTCAGTACCAAATTACCAATAACAATGGAATTTGATATGGGGAACATTGGTGGTTATGAGGTGACTTTATTTGGCCTAATATCAAGTTGGAACTATATTGAAGATTGTAAAGTTCAAATGCAATCAATTAGTGTCATATCTTATTAATGTGTTCCTAGCCTCAATTCTAATTCTGTTTTCTTGTTGGGATGGCTGCAATCTATGACTGAAGCTCTTTAAATCATTCACAAAATTCAAATCTGACAATTTTTTAAATGGACAAAGATAGCTTACTTTTATACAATGGTAAGAAAATGTCTAAATTTCCTTCCACACCCAATTTGTCAGTTTTTTTCCTTGCATTATATCTTCTGTTTTTGTTTTAATTTGAAATTAATGGCTTATTTCCAGGTCAACTTTACAAGGGTGCAATTGGGTATTCCAGCAGAATTTGTTTGCAGATTGACACTCGCAATGATGTTCCCTGTGTCAGTTGCAGCTCCTGCAGTGGTTGTCCCTAGACAAGTGAGCTTTCGGTAAATTCATTTTTTTTCTCTTTTAATTCAATACTATCATGTTTATAAAATAGTAAAATCAATATACCCCCATACTTTGATGTTTGCTATATTTTGTTACTGATTGAGGTCAATTTTTTTGACCCCATCAATTTCTTTATTAAATGTTTTGTTCTAGCCAAAGGTGATATAATTGAATACAATCATCAGATGCCAGCTGTTCCAGTCAGAACAACCAGTGCTCTTACACTTTCCAGTATGGAGATGGTAGTGGGACATGAGGCTATTACGTGCCAGACATGATGCATTTGAATGTTGTTCTTGAGGGTTCTTTGACGACAAATTCTTCAGTGCATGTAGTTTTTAGGTAAAATTGCTATTTTTTGATATACTGTCAAACTTATATTTCTTTTGGTGGTTTTTAAGTAAACAATGTATATATGCTAATATGTACATATATAAATAATTCACTGACCAAACATAAGTCAATTGCAAAAATTTCCTTGCCAACCACGGTTTTAAACAGCCAGAAATGCTTAATTAGGAAAAATCTAGATGAATTTTGTGGAGGTTTTAAACCGTCAGAAGCTGTAAAACAAGCAACATTAAAATACGGTTTCTGGCGGTTTGAAACCGCCAAAAATTGATTGAATTTTCTGGCGCCCAAAACCAGCGTTTACAAAATCTGCGCCACAAACCGTTTTTGGCGACCGTGGACCCGGCGGTTATTAATGACGCCGGTAATGCTATTTGTGGCGGTTTTTAACCGCTAAAAACCGGTAAATTAACCGCCACAAATCACATATTTTTTTGTAGTGAAGAAGAGAATGTACATGCAAAAAATTCTAAATTTAAAACAACAGAAACAAAGAAAAATGTTTTGTTAATGAAATCTGATTTGCAAGTCTTGCTTTTAGCATAAAAATGTTGAGTACTTGTTTTTTCATTTTTTAAATTATCATCAACTTCACGAACACTGCCTGATATGCTTGTTATAAAAAAAAATAAAAAAAAGAGCATTTTCTCTTACATTTTCAAATTTCAATGCTTCCAACATTTACAATTTTCATATAGTTTTAAAAGGTGATTTGATCCTTTTATGTAATTTCTAAGCATGGCTGAAAATGCTCCCTTGAGTTGGCTCATGTATTTTTAATTACCTTGATGATCCAATTGACACATAATACATATCCTCAATTTGTTTTTCGCCTGATTTCAAATTCTCTTGCAGGCAATGGTAAAAGAGAACTTTCTACAGAATTACTAAATAAAAAAAACAAGAGAAAAGAACAAGGCATATAAAGAGAATATCTTTCTTTAGTTACAAGTAATGTTTGAAATCACATTTCAAACATAGGCTAAAATCACAAAAAATCAATCTATATATTCCAAATATGAATGTAACAAAGACCAAAATAGTATATGCATAAAGTTTACAAATCTCTTAATCACTTTTTTCTAATGTATTTCATTTGAGAAAGCACATGGGAAAAAATTGTTCTTTATTTTTTTTTACTATTAATTCTCTTTTCTTTAATATATTTTATATAAGATATGACTTGGTCAAGTTTTTTTTTTTATTTTTATTTGGTTGATTAGTAAGTCAAAACCATATATCATCACCACCAATATGAAAAATATTCAAACCTCTTGGACATTTAAAATGCAATTAGTGCTTATGGGAACCTTGTTGCCTTGTGCATGTTGCTGCTTCCTCATATATAAAATTAAAATCTTTCAAGATTGTTTCACATGTTATCCCAGACTTATCAGTTGAGAAACCTTGTATTCCTTACAAATTATTATAGTATTTTATTATTACTAGACAACTTTTTGACATGTTAAGTCCAAAAACAATTAGTATTGTTAATCTTCTTTCTCATTGCTTTAAAATTTCCCCTTGAATATCCATCTTGTTGAGTTACAACATGGTTGAGGCTATCCTTCAAATTATGCTTGAGAATTTGAACTCGCTCTCTCTCAAAAGCAATTGGGACTATTTTTGGGTGTCGATGAAGACAAGAAAGGATATATTGGTTGTGACACCCTCTACCCCACATTCATAATTACACAATAAATAGGAATAATTAAAATCTTTCATAAATAAATCCAGAATCTCAAATATCTTACATAAAGGATTCACATTCATAAACTCGTAAACAATATCTCCAATGCAACAATTTCAAAGGAAAGAAATTGAGGTTTTCAAAATAGTTCAATGGAAATAACATCCTAAACTAGTCTTAACTATGCCCCGATATCACATATCCTATCAAAGCACGCTCAACTGAAGCCTAAGCTTTATCACCAACATCCTCATCTTGATGGTCATTTGCAACACAGTAAAAGACACACATAGAACAAACAGGGGAGTGAGAAACATCTCACTCAGGTTAAGGTGTAAAAATAACGGTCTGGAAACACACACAAATCATAACAAAGCACAACACAAAACACACATTAATCAAGCACAACTCAAGTCATACATATATTAGCAGCACATACACAATCACTCATTATACAATGATGCCATGGACTAAACTCATAAATGCATGCATATGGCGCCAGTCACATATCACATATCATTGGTGTGCTACTTAAACAACACACCTAAGGTAGTCTATGAGTACATGTAGGAAGCTACCCATACACTCTCAACTAGAAGGATGTACTGTTAGGGTCTGGTCGGGATAGCGAAGCTGCACAGGTTACGTCTCGTGCTCACAAACAGGCAGAATCGAGACATCCAAACTGCTCTATCCCCCAGGACTCCCCCAAGCTATTACACAAGGAGGGCTTTCCCTAACGGTGTACTCCACATCGTACCTGTCACATAGATGCACATGATGCATGTCACACACTCACACTTCATTGACTCATCATTTCACTTGTCATAGTTGTAGACCCCTAAAATTGTCCGGGTCGGAAATAAGACTCGAAGACTCTCGAAGATCAAAGGAAAGTCACCCGGAAGGACTCCTGGAAGACCCTGGAAGACCCTAGGATGACAATCTGTAGGTTTAGAGGTCTTAGAGTAGCAAAAAATAAGAAGGTGGAGGGAATGAAGCCCAATACGGCCTCCCAGAAGTTCAATACGGCCGTATTGAAGTTTCTGAGCTTCAATACGGCTGCATTGAACTCAATACGGCTGCACTGAACTTCAATACGGCCGTATTGAGGTTTTTGAACTTCATACGGCTGCACTGAACTTCAATACGGCTGCATTGAGGTTTTTGAACTCAATACGGCTGCACTGAACTTCAATACGGCCGTATTGAGGTTTTTGAACTTCAATACGGCCGTATTGAATTCAATACGGCCGTATTGTAGTTCAAAACTTCAATACGGACCGTATTGACCC